AGGCAGGAAGACTGAAAATCAAGGCCTGCCTGGGTGAATTTAATGCCATCCTAAGCAATTTGGTGAGACCCTGACTGAAAGAGTAAGAAGACTGAGGGTAGAGATCAGTGGCAGAAGTGCTTGCCTAGCATGCACAGGGTTCTAGGTTCAATCCCCAGCATCACAATATATTAATAACGAAAGAAAATGAGAAAAAAGAATCTCTTCCCTAGATACCTACTCCTCCATCCTGACTTGTTTAAGTCTTCTTTCTTTAGCACATCATGCACAGTATTACTGCATAGTCATCTGTGAGAACATATGTGTGTGTGTGTATGCATACTTTTTTTTTCCCCTTGGTTTTTCAAGACAGGATCTCCCTATAACCCAGCTGGCGGCCTGGAACTCACTATGGAGATCAGGCTGGCCCACATCTCACAGAGATCAACCTGCCTCTGCCTCCTGAGTGCTAGGATTAAAGGCATGTGCCACCATGCCAGTCTATATTTTTTATTATTCTTTAAGAATTCCATACATTTATACAATGTATTTTGATCATTGCTTGTTTGTTGCTGTCCTCCCTCCCTCCCTCCCTCCCTCCTTCTTTCCTTCCTTCCCTCCTTCTCTCTCTCTCTCTCTCTCTCTCTCTCTCTCTCTCTCTCTCTTCCTTTGAGACTGGCTGTCACTATGTAACCCAAGCTGTCCTCAAGCTCACAGCAATTCTCCTGCCTAAGTCTTCCAAGTGCTAGGATTATGGGCAGAGCCTCCATGCCCAGCTGACTCATTTTATTTTGAAGACAAACTTCAATGTGGAACATGTTACTCTGACTTGGGTGTTTCTGTTCTACAGTACTCACCAAACACTGAATTCTGAGGGAGAGATGGTCCCACTGATCCTCGCCAGCAGCAGAAACTGTCTGCTAGAGAGAGATTGGGACTCTTGCAACCACAGCTTAAAGCAGTGAAAAGCAGCAACCTCTAGACTTGTTGACTGAGGTTTCGGTAGATAGAAGAGTAAAGGCAAAAAGAAAATCAGAGAGGGGAAGGAAAAGGTGTCCTGCGCTATCGTCTCGCCAGCAAGAACGACGCGGCACACTCAGGATCCTTCTGCAGAAAAGCTTTAATGCATCTTGAGAGGGAGAGCATAAGCTTACAGGGCGAAGACCCCGAATGTCGGAAACCCAGCCCTTATATAGGTTAGTAAGCCCGTCTTGGACGTGGCAACTCTTGATTGGTTGCAAACTCATCAGCCCATATCACGCCACGAGGTAGGCAGAGACTAGAAGGTGGAAAATTACTTCGGGCATGCGTACTGACTTATTTACTGCTCAGCATGAACCGGATGTGAGCGCCATCTTGTAATGGCATCTGCAGGGACAGCAGGCGGCTCCCCACAAAAAGGTAAAAAGACTAAAGAGATACAGACAGCAAAGTGATAGCCTGAAGCCACAAAGTCCTTACCAGTTTACTGTCAACACAGGGAACAAAGGTTCTATCAGACCCCTTATTTTAGTACAGTGCAAAAGGACAAGAAATCTAAATTAGAATAAAAAAATCAAAGAAGCACAGGCAGCAAGCTATCTACTAATAGATAAAAGAGCAGACTCAATAGAGAAAAAGCAGAGTCGTGGAAGAGGCTAGTCAGCACTGACCTACTCGTTATAGTTTCTGATGTTCAAGGGCACGTCTTCAGTTTACAATGTAGAAAACATAATTACATCTTCCTGTGTACTGCCTGGGTTCTTACCCAGCCTCAAAGTCATTATTCTGAGCTTTGGTTCTGGTTGCATTTAACTGTTGATGGGGGAAAAAAAGCCGGAAGATAGGAGTTAAATATACCATTGAGTCTAGATAACCCCTAGAAATCAGTCATTTGAAAAATTCCTGATAGGAACTCTCAATTAAATGTACCCTTTTAAAAAATATATTTTATTATTTTTTTATTTTTTTAAGTGTATGAGTATACTGTCTGAAGGTGCATAAGTGCACCCATGTCTGCAATGCCCACAGAGGGCAGAAGAGGTCCCTGGAACTGGAGTTACAGGCAGTTGCTAGCACCATACGAGTGCTGGGCACTGAACTCAAGTCCTCTGCAACAGCAGCCAGTGTTCTTAACACACTGAGCCATCTCTCCAGCCTCCATAAATATAACCTTTATAAAAGTAAAATTGCTAAGACTTTCTTTGTTTTGCAAGAGTATATAATTGTTAGCTTGTAATTTCACAATTTTTAAATTATTCAAATGATGGTCTATTTCAATATTATGGAATCAAAATTGCAATGGTAGCTCATAGGCTGCTCTCAGAAAAGGTCAGGAAAGCCTAGTTTTGCAATGGAGGATGGTTAAAACAGATTGATAAATGGTCAAAGTGCTAAGAATAAGTGCCTAGTGAATGCTCAGCGCTAAACAGGACAACTATAAAACCCCCTCCAAGGCCCAGGGAACATTGCAAATAAGAGATGGAAAGATTTTAAGAGCTGGAGGATGGGGAGGAATGCTGTGAAACACCATCTTCTGGATATGGCATGTCCATCACATTCAAGAACACACAGCAGGTATGATGATATGCACAAGACCTACAGACGTACACATAAAAACAACATGAAAGAATCAGGGGAACTAGTTTCAAAGAAGGGTGAGAGCCCGGTGGGGTGTGGTGGCACACACCTTTGATCCCAGCACTCAGGAGGCAGAGGCAGGTGGAACTCTGTAACCCCAAGGCTAGGGTTACAGGGAGACCCTGTCTCAAAAAGATTTAAAAAAAAAAGGTAAGGTCAGCAAAAGTGGGAGGGGAAGAGAAGAGGGTAATGGGGGTAAATATAATCACAATAAAATATACACATGTATGAAAATGTAAAAAACAAAAATATTATTTTAAAATTGCAATAGAAGGAAAAATACCAAAGAATGTCCATTTGACTTGATTTATACTGTATTTCTTCAATTATTAGTGAATCAATTTTTATGTAAACAAATGAAATTTCAACACAAAATGGAAACAAAACCTTAAGCTGTGAGAATGCATGTTTCTTCCACAATAATATACTACAAAAGTTCTCAAGCAGAATTTTAAGTATACATAGATACAGAAATAATACATGTAATTTAGATATTTGTATTAGTATTAAATAAGCATTTCTAGTACTCCGGTCTTCCTTTTAGGTTGAGAAGACTGACAGAATAAATGCAATCAACTATTTGTACATTTAAAAAGAAATGTAGGTTAATAATAAAGGTTAGCATTTACCAACTGATTTACTGTGTTGTGGGACTAGAGCCCATCTCTCTACGACCTTTCCATTTAATCCTCTCGTTTGCCCTATGAGTAAAATATTTTTATTTCCTACTTTTGAGAAAACAAAATGGAAACCAAACTGAAAGATAAGAAAAGGAGGCTTGGAGTGACTAAATAACTTGCTGAAAGTCACATAACTAATTAAATAGACTTTATGGAATAAGAAAATAAGCTTGTGTTTATATTATCCACAAGACTGCATATTCTAAAGGACAGGAACTTACCTAGTTTGTTTTTCACTGACACATATCAAGGTTAATAAATATTAATGAACTCATGCATGCTTTTCAAGGCCATAAAGATTTTATGATCTCCAAGCTGTTTTTTAAATTATATAAATAGACCCCGCATGGTAGCTTACGCCTATAATTCCAGTGGCTGGGAAACTGATGTAGGAGACGTCTGAGTTTGAGTCTACCCTAGCGACATAGGAAGCCTCTGTCTCAAATAAATAAATAGAAATTAAAAGCTAGAAAGGGGAAACATGTAATGTGTAAAGACACATTAATGCAAAAAGCATTTTAATTAAAGACTTTCATGTACTTTAAATCACCATTTATATTCATTACACGAGCTCATTTTCAAGGGGTATCAAAGCCCCTTCTCCATCTGACCAGGTTCTGTGACCAGGCTGTTACTTTGAGGTATTACCTTTTCTCCCCCAATACCCTTCCCTTTCCTCTCCGCCCTATTACAGGCCTTGGTTCTGTGGCTTAGCCAAGGGGAATAACAGGGCAAAACACTCCGCAGAGGTAGCAGAAAAATGTTTCCAAATTTCAGGGGAGCCACTGGACAGGAAGGGGCCATGAAAACCAGCCGCCAAGGTGAGAACAGACTCCTGAACCGTTCTTGCCCATACGACAACCTTGGAGAAAGGGGAGTCCGGGAAGGGTTCGGACTACTGCTTTCCCCTCTCAACCTGGTTACAGAAGAGGCACATAGGGACTAAGTTCCTAAGAGCAGAGCCACATTGCTTCACACGTGTCTGTGGTCTGAGCCTCCCACCCCCTGCCGCGGACTTTCACCTACCGCTCGGGTCCGCACACACCCTTCGGTTTAAGCCACTTGGAGGGGGCAGGGCCCTCCGTCAAATTTGTAATCAAAATCTAAAATATACAAGTCCACGAAACTACAAAGTCCAACTTCATTGTAACAGTCGATGCTGCACAAAAAGCAAAATAAGACGATGATCAGTTGATTTCTGAAATTCAAAGAGAACCCTCTGGAATATAACGGACCGCACCAAAGAAACCCTGCCACCTTTCCATCTGTACGGAGAATGAACGCTTGCGGGTTTTCTTTTTTTTTTTTTTTTTTACGATTGAACGCTTGCGGGTTTTTTTTTTTTTTTTTTTTTTTACGACTTGCTATTGCGTTTTCAGAAAGAGGAGGCCGAGCACTGTATAACCGCTAAACTACAAAGAACAAGCAACTTCCAGAACGTTCTGGAACGCCACCCTAGCCCGACCGGCTAGCGGCAGCCTGACTTGCCCGGGCAAGCACTGGTACAGGGAACCCAGAACTGTCTCATCTGGAAAGATGACAGTTCGGAAACGCCAATGAGAGAGGCTGGGGGGTCAGGGCGTGGACTCGGACAAAAGGAAGTGTGCGCTGATTGGCCGAGCTTCTGGAGGCCACGGCCAGGCCCTCTGCGGACGTCAGCGACCAGCCATCCGAAGGACCTCACCAATCAGCGCGCAGATGCGTCCCCGGCGAGCGAGCCCCGCCCTTGCTTGTCTCCCCGCGGCTCGGCGCGGCCCTTTCGCAGCCGGCCGATCTGGAGGAGGGCGGTGCGGTTCCGGGGCGCTGCGGAGCCCTCCACCCGGGACGGCATCCCCTCCCTGGGCCTCTCCGGCTTGCCCGCCCGCCAGGCCGCTCGCCCCGCGGGCTCTCGCATCGGGAATCGTGGGGCGAGCTGAGAGCAGGCCCGGGGAGGGTGGGCACGCGGAGGCGCCGTCGCTGTCAAGGTGAGCGGGGAGCGCGGGGCACCGCCGGGCGGCGACCGGGAGCGCACGCCCAGGCAGGTCCGCGGCTGGAGGGGCGGAGCGGGAGCCGCGCTCCGCAGGTGTCCTGTGTCGTGCCCCAGATTGTCCCCCTGGAGTTAGTGGTCCTCACCAGGACGAACCTCAGGACGTCCTCACCAGGACGAATTTCTGATTAAATTCACATGAGAAGGGTCCTCCTGTGTGCCCAGGACTTAGCCTGTGCACAGGAGCAGAGACTGTTACGCACAGTTACAGTAATGCAGTTCCCAGGTTCATTTAACGTTAGGTTTTTATGAGCCCTGTGTGCCAAGCACGACGCTTCACTGAGTCATTGCTTGTATTCACAGCTATTCCAAGAAAGAGATGTTGCTCGCTTCGTTTCACAGAGGTAGCAATAGGCTTGTTGTCTGGCAGTAATTAGGCACTTACCTATGTGCTAATTGGTTTATGTGATTTCTTTTAACCTACGCAAGCCTACAAGCTAGGTAATATTCCTACCTCACAGATAAGGAACTAAGGCTCCCATTGTCCTGTCTCATGGTACCTTTATGACTATGTATTGGGAAACAAGCTTCTTGAAGCTGGAAAAATAATTTTTAAGCCATAGTTCTTGTCCTCTAAGAACTCACAATTTAGGGTATGACCAACTTGTAGTGGCTTCGCGGGGGAGGGGGGGGGCATGCACTATGAAGCTCTTCTTGCCTGAAGCCAAAGACGGCCAAGAAAGGCAGGAGATATTCTTACTCTCCTTTCTGGGGTTTGTTCTATATATAGATGATAGAGGTACTGACAACTGACTCTCAGAAACTGCTGCACCAGCTAAATGCCCTGTTGGAACAGGAGTCAAGATGTCAGCCAAAGGTCTGTGGCTTGAAGCTAATTGAATCTGCACATGATAATGGCCTGAGAGTGACTGCAAGGCTCAGGGACTTTGAAGTAAAAGATCTACTCAGTCTAACTCAGTTCTTCGGCTTCGACACGGAGACATTTTCTCTAGCTGTGAATTTACTGGACAGATTCCTGTCTAAAATGAAGGTATGTTTAAGTTCAAATACCATATTTCTTAGTTTTGCTTAGTATGTGCTTAAGATAGCAAATTGCTAATTTAGAGCTGATGCTCAAAAGCTTGACCTCTTATATTTTCTTTCTTTTTCTTTTCTTTTCTTTTTTGGTCTTTGTGAGACAGGGTGTCCCTGTAGCCCCAGCTGCCCAGTTGTCCTGGAACTCACTATGTAGACCAGGCTGGCCTCGAACTCACAGAGATCCACCTGCCTCTGCCTCCCAAGTGCTGGGATTAAAGGCATGTGCCACCATGCTTGGTGACCTCTTATATTTTCAAACATGGCAGTAATCTCATTTATATGTTTTCTTATCATAATTAACAGTAACGTGTCACTTATTAGTTTTATATTGGGGTACAGAAAATCATCTAATATCATAGAAGGCTCTCAATAATCATAAAATAATTTACTATGCTTTATGTTTTCATGTCTATACTTTGAAGATAAAATTTCATGAATGAATGGTAATTAAGCAGAATATTTGACCAAAGGACTGAGTCTAACTCATTAAATAACTCTCAGGTACTGCACAGCTCCATTCCACACAAAAAGGTTTCAAAAATTCCCGTTTTATTTGCATCTCTCAAAAAGTATTCATAGAGATCCACGTCATAATTAATGCCCTCACTGCTTTGAAGTTCTTTTTCTTCTCCATGAATTCTTTCAAACTTATAGGGTGAGGCCGCAGGATGTAGGGACAGCGAGAAGATGCACGAATACGTTTCTTTTTCTCCCCACGTTTCCTTGGGTCTCTCAACTCCACTTTTTTAGCCCACTTTCTTCCTTGCGTCTCCACACCCTTTTTTCGTACTCGTTGCTGAGCCTTTTGTCTTAGTTTTCACTGAGGCCATTCTTGGATGGATAGAAGACCCAATTCCCACATTTCTCTGAACCTTCTTGCATTTCTCTTATTCCTGTTACTTTTCCCATCGGAGAAATTCAGGTGCATAAAAAACAAAACAAGAAAAACGAGCCTACACAGAAAAGACGCTGCACACCCTTGCTCTGAAGGTGTAATGTGAAACTGATACTCTCTCAAAGCTGCTAAGCATTCTCCCCAACTTTCCCCAGCAGTGTATTCTAAGGGAAAGATGAATACTGTCATCTTGTGGAAAGAAACAACATACATTATTAGAGAAAGTCTGTTTAATCACATTGGCTGGTTAAAAAGAAAGAAAATCATCTAATATTAAACAATTAATTGCAGAATTCCAGCAGGAAAGCTAGCTGTAGTTAAAAACCTTTCTTCGCTAAAAAAAAATAATAATAAATAAATGAATAATAAATAAAAACCTTTCTTGGGCCAGCAAGATGGTTTACTGGGTGAAAGCACTTGGCATACAAGATTGATGTCCTGAGTTCTATCCATAGAACACATGGTGAAAGGAGACAGCCTTCCTAAAGTTGTTCTCTGTCCTCAGCCCATGCATACAACCATGATATGCACACGCTCCCCTCCCATGCACACACAAATAAAAGTCTGTCCTAAAAATTGTTTTACATATATTTGTGCATGTGTGTATATACACGTGTATGGGTACACCAATGTCACAGCATGCATGGAAGTCGGGGAAACTACAGGGAGTTGGTGTTCTAACATGTGGGTCCCTGGGATTGAACTCAGATCAGTGGCAGCTTGGAGGCCATCACACTTACCTGCTAAATCATCTTAACTGGCCCCAATAAAAATGATTTTGTTTTGTTTGGCTATTGGGTTTGTTTGTTTTGAGGCAGAGGGTCTCACTATGTAGCACTGGCTGGCCTGGAACTCACAGAGATCTAGGAGTACCATGGAAAAATCTTTCTTCATAGATTGGGTATTTCCACTTACCTACATTTGTTTAAAGGTGTTTGTATGATAAAGTGTAGCAGAATCATAGGTTGTAGTTAAGAATTAGGATATATTTCATGGGGCTGGAGACATGGCTTAGCGGTTAAGAACACTGTTCTCGCAGAAGACCTGGGTTCGAATCCCAGCACCCACATGGCAGCTAACAACTGTAACTCCAGTTCCAGGGGATCCGACAGCCTCTTCTGACCTCCATGGGCATTGACGACACAGGTGCACTGATAACATACACATAAAATAAAAATAATAAAATAATTTTTAAAAAAACAATTAGGACATACTTAACCACTACCCATATATGGAAATTTTGGCTCCTTTATCCGTTTGGCATCTCCAGCTTCAGTTTGCATGTGATAGAGAAGTAGAATCTGAAGAAGGATCATTTCTGGAGTTATTCCCTATAACTGATAAAACACGGTAGCTCTCAAAGCTTAAGTGTTAAAAGCACAGCTGCCTTCTCTATTCAGTCACTGGTTTCAAGTGGAGCACATAGGACTGACAGGCTGTAGTTCAGGAAGAGAGTTAAGTCCATCAGAGCTGAGAAGTATGTCTCAGATACATTTCATAAAGATGGGTCTGAGTTCTAGTTTATCCTTTGTGTTCTAGTAAATGAAACATGGGAATGATGTGGTCTTATTGTTATTTGGTTTTGTTGTAGGTACAGGCAAAGCATCTTGGATGTGTTGGACTGAGCTGCTTTTATTTGGCTGTAAAGTCAATAGAGGAGGAAAGGAATGTCCCATTGGCAGCTGACTTGATCCGAATAAGTCAGTACAGGTTCACGGTTTCAGACTTGATGAGAATGGAAAAGATTGTGTTGGAGAAGGTGTGTTGGAAAGTCAAAGCCACTACTGCCTTTCAATTTTTGCAACTCTATTATTCACTCATTCAAGAGAACTTCCCATTTGAAAGGTATGTGAACTTTGTTTTGAACAAAAAAGGTTTGGAAATCAAGGATATTGTTTGGCTACTGCGTAGAATCAGCATCTTCATAGAATTCTGATCAAACTAAGTACATGACATCTGAGATCCCTTGAACTTGACTGCCTAGCAGCAGTGAAAAGACAGCTGTCACGAGTTTCTTGAAGGCTCATTCTTAAGACTAGAGGGACATGTCAACTTTTATAGAACTTAGTAGGTAGGCATCTAATAGCAATTGTAGAAAAGGACATTCAGTAGATGCAGAAAAATTTATTGAAATGAAAACTTAGTATTTGTGATATAATATTGTTCATTTCTTGGTTTTTGACCAAAATCATTTAAAACTCATGCTTAAGAAGTTAATATTTAAGCCGGGTTCGGGGGAGCAAACACCTTTAATCCCCAGCATTTGGGAGGCGGGGGCAGGTGGATCTATGTGAGTTCAGGGCCATCTTGCTCTACATACTGAATTCCAGGCCAGCTAGGGCTGTCTCCAAAAGACCAAAAAAAGGGGGGTGGGGGTTAATATCTAACAGAAGAGGAATTCTTTTCCTTTAAATAACTTTCTATAAGTATACATGAGTTACTTTTTAAAACCTGACATTATTTCTAAAACCACTGACTAGATGTAATATTGTCTACATAAAATCAATCCCATTTTCTTTTTAAAGGAGAAATGATCTTAATTTTGAAAGACTAGAAGCTCAACTTAAGGCATGCCACTGCAGGATCATATTTTCTAAAGCAAAGGTAAATGTTTTTTGAAGATTAAAGCCAATCCACAGCCCTGTTTTCACAGTCGACACTCACTTTCTATTACGTCTTTCAGCCTTCTGTGCTGGCACTGTCCATCATTGCTTTGGAGATCCAAGCACTGAAGTGTGGAGAGTTAATGGAAGGAGTAGAATGTCTTCAGAAACATTCCAAGGTATGTCAAGGCTAGAACATAAATACTATTAACTAGAAAAGAAATTTAACCACTGTACTCCTAAAGTAAAATGGGATGCTGTGTTATTTGAATCTTAAGCAGTGATTCTAGTTTGCTTCTCTCTTGTGATAAAACACTGACCAAAAGCAGTTTGGGGAGGAAAGGGTTTATTTCATCTTATATTCCAAGTCCATCTGAGGGAAATCAGGCAGGAACTGAAGCAGAGACCACAGAGGAATACTGTTACTGGCCTGCTCCCCTGGCCTGTGCTCAGCTACCTTCCTTATACAGTCCAGGCCCACCTACCCAGTGATGGCACTGCCCAAGTGAGCTAGGCCCTCCACATGATCAAGAAAATGCCTCAGAGACGTGTCCACAGGCCAGTCTGGTGGAAGCAACTACAGAATTGAGGTTCCTCCCAGGTGACACTAGTTTGTGTCCAGTTGAGAAAAAGCAAAGCAGCACAGTCGTTTTCCTCTATTATTCTTTGGACAACGAGGAAGCATGTTAATAGGATTACATGCATTACTATATAGTAGGGCTTCTAATCATTTTAAAATTTTTATGCACAGATAAATGGCCGAGATTTGATGTTCTGGCAAGAGCTCGTATCCAAGTGTTTAACTGAATATTCATCAAACAAGTGTTCCAAACCAAATGTTCAGAAGTTGAAATGGATTGTTTCTGGGCGGACTGCAAGACAGTTGAAGCACAGTTACTACAGAATAACTCACCTTCCAACAATTCCTGAGATAGCGTCTTAATTGGTAAATTTGGTTGTTAGTCAGGCGTGGTGGCACATGCCTTTAATCCAAGCTCTTGGGAGATAGAGGCAGGTGGTGGGGCTACAGGGAGACCCTGTCTCAAAAAGACCCCCCCCAAATTTTTTTTTGTTATTCTCTATATAGGGAAAATTTACCAGTGTGATATTCTTTTACAATTGAACTGAAATATTATATTCAACATAAACAATATGGGATTGAAATAGTAAAGGGAAAAATGACTTCACTGATCTAGTTAGCAAATATTTAAAAGCAATAATTGTGTACAAGGCACAGCATTCTTGAGAGAAAGGAATTATCCAAATTCTAAATGTGTTGGCAATTTCATTAAATTATTAGCATCCTCCAATCCTGAATTTTTAACGCAGTACTGAATTAGTATTTACTAAATTGCACGTCATCTCACTGCAGCTTATTTAAAGTTACACAAACCCAAGTAGAACAACAGAACCAAAATCTGACCCATATTTGAATAAGTTAGAGTTTGTTAGCTGCAAGCAAAAGTATGATGACTGAGTGCTGTACTTCTAAAGAAATATGGTACAGATAGTCTGCATATTCGGTTTCTGGAAATTGTTAGGGTGTCTCAACTCTATAGTTTGTATTTCATTGCCATAGCAGTTGGACTATTAAAGAGTAATTATATGCATTAAGAACTGTAAACTTGGTCACTGGTATATATACATTTTTGCCATCCAAATTTCTTAATGCACAGTAATGATTTATCCTTTTTTGTTTAAAACTAAATGTTGCTTGTGAGATGGCTTGGCAGGAAAGGGCACTTGCAGCCAAGCCTGACATCCTGAGTTTCATCCCCAGGACCCACATGGTGGAAGGAGAAAACCAAATCCCCCAGATTGTTTGTTGACCTCCACACATGTGTGCTTCCCATCCCCACCCCCCCCACAAGAAATAGATGTTAAAAAAAATTAAAAATCTAAAAGTCAACATTTAACACATCTATGTAGGGTTATGAATTTTGGATATGAACAGTTCACTTTCAGTGGCTAGTAACATTTAGACAGGTCTCTATTAAGCTGGGTTTTTGTTTTTACTTTAGGAGTACTGCAGCAACAAAAAAACTCTTCTCTGAAACCTTTCCTACAACCCTGAGCTATGGATTCCATACTGTTATACTGGACATAAGCTATGGAAACCTAAAAACATCACAACTACACTAGTGTAACATTCTAGACTTGGGAAGACAGCCTGATTCTATGCTGCGTAGAGCTATGCTTAGATTTGAATTCACCCTTAAAGCGTTCAAATCAAAGCTAAAGACATAAATGTGAAGTAAAACTGTGAATCTTCATTTCTAACATTGATCTTTCTATATTGGATCAATATATTTAGGTGACTGAAAATGGTAATTTAAATATAAAAATTTAAATTAATGAAGTTTACATCAAAACCAACATTTCACAAATGCACTTTTAAGGCATTATAAGGGTTAATATTTTAGGCAGTAAATGGTTTCTTGGAACCCATAATGCAAGTAATTGATAATTCAGAAATGGAGTTTTTATTGCCATATGAGAATTACATTTAAACTTTTATGCATTTTATATAAAAAAATACAGACTTCAAAAGTTTTGCAAATAATCTTTAATATTTCTTATGAAAAACAGTTGGTTTGTATGCATGATAAAAAATTTTGCTACAGAATTACTGCCTCAATCTAGTTCCATCTGAGAAAATTTGTTTCTGTTGTATTAATTCAATGAATTGTTTCTGAAAATTTGCTGCACTACAATAAATTCAAGCTAGCCAAAGCACTCCAGAAATTTTTACCACAGATTGTTTTTATAAAACTGCCATTGCTTCTAAAGTAGAATATTGTTTTAAAAGTTAAAGAATATATTTGCAAAACTTACTCGACTGTGTCTTAAGAAAAGGAGGTACTCATGAGATCACCTAGGTGGGATTCAGACTGTCATGTTGGCGTGTGAATGTCAGACCTACAGTGTTAAGGATGGCTACTCAGTGCGTTGTGCAGCCTGACTCCATCCAGAATGGCTGTGACCAATGCTGACATTATGTAATGGATAAATAACCACTGAAAAATAAACCAAAGAACCACAGTGTATTTTATCCTTAACCTTTGTAAACCATGTTTTGTGGATAACTTTTCCATTTCTCCAAAAGGCTGATATACTTCACTTTTGGAAACACCAGTGTTAATTCTGAGTGGACAGAAGTAACCTAACCAACTATCACTATGTTTGGTACTAAGAGATACACCTTTCAATAAATTTATTGAAATGCAATCCTTCCCTGGGTGGTTTGGTTTCTTTTTGTGATTTAATTTTTCAGCAATGTCATAAAATAAGATGGTATCTTTACATTGTATATTAAAATTTTTCACTAAAAGTGCATGTAAGCAGAAACAAAATCTTTTAATAGTTCAGCTAACAATTGACTACTAATATTTTTTAAAACACAGGATTAAGCATATATGTTACATATATTAGAAAGCTGTATTTAGGCATTATTAATCACTTTTTTTCCATTTAGATTCACCACTGCTATGGGTGTTTCCCTTAATAAAAATTTACCCTTAGATTCCACTCACCTGAAGTTTTGTATACTCTCTTACGTAAGTAACATTCCAGCAGGGTGGTTTCTACTGATGATATGTGAACCTGCTTGGATCAACTGGTAACAAATAATTTTGAACTATTCATGCTTACTTTTAAATGTTTTTTATTGACATTCCCTCTCTCATCCCCCATCCCTCTCCCACTGAAATCCTCCTTCCCAAGGCCCATCCTACTTTCTTTCTTAGTATGTGTGACCCACTGAGCTTATTAAGATTGCTGACATGAACATGGGTGGGAGGTTGTTTCCCGGAGCATGAGCAACTTAGTGGCTACACCACTGAAGAAAGTGGCATCCTAGCTGCCATTAACTGTTGGTAGTTCTTCAGAGATGGGTGGAGTCTTGAGTCCTTTCCCCTTCCATGATGAAATGCTAACAGGGCTGATCTTGCGCAGGTAACTACAGCATCAGCAAGTTCATGAGAACATTTTAAAAAATATAAAGTGGGCATTTAGAGGAACCAAGGACAAAAGAGAAACTGATTCACTGGGCATAGTTAATGTCTCTTTTTACCATTCTACATGTTCCCTTCCAACACGGACGACTAGGGGCTGGAGAGATGGCTCAGTGGTTAAGAACACTCAAAGTTCTTCCAGAGCACCCAGGTAAGAGCCCCAGCATCCACACTGCAGCTAACAACCATCTGTAACTCCAGTTCTAGAGGATTAGATACCTTTGTCTGGCCTCTACAAGCATTGCACTATGTGGTGCACTTACATGCATTCAGACAAAACACTAATACACATTAAATAAAATTCTTTTTAAAAATACGGAGGAATAATTCAGGTGAAACTGTATAGCTTTCACAATCAAAACTTTATTCTGTTCAAATTAACTTTAGTGCTATCATAATAAAATAATACTCAGAATTTGCCTTTTATACAAATTTTCATCAATTACATCATTGCAAAAAGCAACAAAAACGTCATTTCTTAGACATTGCTGAGTATTAAGCTTAAGATTTTCCTAAACCAAAATGAATAATAAGCATAAATCAAATAAAATGGATTAGAAGATAAGCCAAATTTTATATTAGTTCAATAAGTAGACTTAAAAGCAATTAGAACTGTAAAGGGAGACGCTGCATAATGAAGAAGATGGTGAAAATCCTCAATGTGTCACAGCAAAGCAAAAAGGAACAGTACTGGAACGAAGCCTTCAGTTATTGCTGGAAAACTAGACAGTACTCTTGGCAATCTACAGAATCACTATAAAACTGAGTAACACCAAGCTGGGTGTGGGGTGCACACCTTTAATCTCAGAAGTTTCAAGGTGAGACAAAGTAGATCTCTGTGTTCAAGGCCAGCCTGCTCTACAAATCCAGTTCCAGGCCAGCTGGGGCAAGAGGGAGAACCTGTCTCAAACAACAACAAAACCTAAACAACACCAACAAACAACTCAATCTAAGCAATTTAAGGACAACACCCGAAGCAGCAGATATCATTCATCAATATAGCCTATATCCTAGGCCTTAAAAACCAAAAGAACTGAAATCATACAAAGTATATTTTCTGAATGTAAAGTAGAAACAACAGAAAAAATTCTAAGAACTTAGAAATTAAGGAAACGACTTCTAAAACAATTTGTATCTCTAAGGATAAGTCTCAAAATAGAAAAGATTTCAAACTGAATGAAAACGGAAACAGCACCATGTGTGGAATGCAGCTAAATCAGTACCTGAAAAGCAAACTGCAGTCACTGCGTTTATTAAAGGGTCTTAGAAAACCAGAATGGGAGACTAAATGAAACTCAAGAAGAGGAAGAAAGTAATGAAAAAGGTAGGAGGAAATCAATGAAATTCAAAACAAATAGAAAAATCAACAAAACCAAAAACTGGTTATTTGAAAAACTCAATAAACTGATACACTTAAGAAAACTGACAAATGCAGGGCGTGGTTGCATACGCCTTTGATCCCGGCACTTGGGAGGCAGAGCCAGGTGGATCTGTGTGAGTTCACGGCCAGCCTGGTCTACATAGTGAGTTCCAGGACAGCTAGGATTCCAGGGAGACCCTGTCTCAAAATGACCAAAAAAGAAAAGAAAAAACTGACAAGGAAAATACTAGTTGCCACTATTCGAAAGGAAAGAAAAGATAGTACTATAAATCTTGGAAGACATTAAAAGGGGATCAGTGGCTGGCAGGATGCCTCAGAGGGTAAAGGTGTTTGCTGCCAAGCCTGATGACCTGAGTTCAATCCCTGGAACTGCATGGTGGAAGGAGAGACTTGACTCTCGTACATTGTTCTCTGACTTCTACAAGCCATGTGGCATACGCATTTCTGTGCCCACTGTGCATGTGTACACATAAATAAATTCTTTAAAAAAGAAAAAAGACAACAAGAAAATGCCATGAACAATTCTACGTATATGGAGTTAAGAGTAAATGAACCAGTTCTTAATAAACAAGAATGTTCAAAATTTGGGGCTAGAGATAATGACTCAGTGATTAAGAGCACATACTGCTCTTGGAAAGGACCTGAGTTCAGTTCTCAGCAGCCATATCAGGAGGCTCACATCCACATATAACTCCAGCTCCAGGGGATCCAATGCCTCTGACCTCACCTCCATGGGCATTTACACTCTATACAGACACACATGATTAAAAATTTTAAAAATGCCAAAATTTAACTAAAGTGAATTACATAATTTGATTTTTTTTTTTTTTTTTTCTTTTTGAGACAGGGTCTCCCTGCTCCCTGCAGCCCCAGCTGGCCTGGAACTTACTATGTAGACCATGCTGGCCTCCATCTCACAGAGATCCATCTGCCTCTGCCTCCCAAGTACTAGGATTAAAGGCATAGGCCACCACACCTGGCATACAATTTAAATAATGCCTGATTAGTTTTAAAAATTGAATTGTTGCCGGGCATGGTGGCCCATGCCTGTAGTCCCAGCACTTGGGAGACAGAGGCAGGTGGATCTCTGTGAGTTCAAGGCCAGCCTAGTCTACATGAGTTCCAGACCAGCTGGGGCTACAGAGAGACCCTGTCTCAAAAAGACCAAAAAAAAAAAAAAAATTGTG